AAACAATTAATTTTTTATAATTGCTCGAAAAAACACAAAGAAAATGTGTGAAAATGTCATTCAACTGAAATGTCACTGTAATTACTATATTTCGTAGAAAATCCTTTTTTAATGCTAATTCAGAGTAAATAGCAAGAAGTTTCATGATTTTACGCCATAGTGGCCACGCTTTATTCAACTAATGGTAAATCAATCAACGCATTTTATTATGTGAATATTCTAGATATAAAAAAGTCTTCCTGTGATTTTCTACTCAATCTTTTAGATGCTTTTTGTGGCGACACAAGTTCTTGAACCTATTGCGGCGACTCTGCTCAAAATCGATGACTATAACTTTGACTGGCCACATGAAACTTTTCAGTTTGTATAATTTTTCTGGCGTTAAAATGAATTTTTCGACCGAAAAGACAATAAATGAAATAATGTAACCAACAATCAAAACGTAAAATGGTCCTTGAATATCCTTCAATGAGAATGGTCTGCGACGATTTTCTTGCTGTTGCGTTTGGTTTTGCACGTATGAGTTCATAATGAAAGCCTCTGCTGTTTTCTCATACCATAAACGACTGAAGCCTGGAAATAAAATCTCTTTTAGATGTTTTTTTATCATGCCGATTCAAATGCATAGTCGAACCTCCTTCAGTAAGACGTTGAACGACTTTGTTGAACCGAAATAAGAGCGGCCAGTCTTTGTAAACGATATAGGTGAGGAAATAGTGACGGGGGCATTCTTTGACCAAGTGGAGTTTTGAGCTACCATCTCTATTGAAGTATTTTGTCTGACAAGCGTTTGAGGCAAAAAATAATCAAAAGATCGATTTCAATGTCGAATGGTATCGTGGAATTTTCGGAACTATCCAACCTATACTTTTGGCCGGCGCAAGATACAGGTGGCGCCTCAATAAGATGTATTAGCAATTTGCGGCATTTTTAAGAACTATCAATACTTGTTGTTGTTGTCACGAATTTCGCAACAACAAGAATTATTGATAGTTCCTAAAGTTGCCGCAGTTTCTATTTAGGCGCCACCGCTACTCACTGCCACGTCAAATACATTGGTTCTTATGGCAGAGAAGCATAGGTTAGAACTACCTTTAGTTTAATAAGCACATCTGGATAGCGTTCAATGCTGCACACATCACGAATTTCGGCTACACGATCAAGCGCACTGATTTCAGAATATTCAAGAAATAGTTTATCTTTCAATGATTGTAGTACAGTTGAATTAGTTTGCCAACTTTCAAATGTGTTGAGTAATGATGGTGTCGAAGTGATGATTCGCAAACCAGTACTGTCCAACTCACTAAGGGTGTCAATATTTACATTTGTGGTTTTAGTGTAAGCGGTGTACAACGAGCTCTGTTTAAAATTGAAGATGCAATATATGATACAGTTGTAGTATAACATAATATGACCATACCGCGAATGATCCTCCAATGATGATATTGGCCAAAAGACACACTCCAATTAAAAATCGTTCAATCGTCTGTAAAGGTAGAGCTGCATTCATTCCGACCATCACTTGCCATGTGACGAAAATGATGTCTTTCACTCTAATTTCTTTCTCCACAACGAAACTCTTAAAATCGCGATACAAAAGTGATTCACGCAGGACTCTTCGTTCCAGTTTCTCTTGATGATGCTTGAGTATTGGAAAAATTATGCTTGAACCTGATGTAATCACGAAAAAAATTGACCAGAAATAAACATCGAAACACTTGAAAAAGGTTTTCCATTGCGGTGGTTTTCTGGCAGCCGGCATAACGACGCAAGACTCATCACCATGGGTCGGTGACATATATTCGATGTCGGTGGTTCCATAATTGATAAGAAATCTTCCGTTGAAAGCAACATCGGCTCGGCCATATAGTATATCGCCAAGCGCCCCGGTGAACTCGCCACCCACTTTATATCCGTAAGTATAATTGTCTTTGGGCATTATTGCATTCACTGTGAAATTCATTTCTTTGGATAAACTTCCAAGTAAAAAACCATCGATACCACCATAGCCGGACATTTTCATGCCTTGAGCGTAATGAGTCTGTGCAAAATATTTTGGAATTTCGCGTACCATCGTTGGACGTCGATTGAATATTGAAACAGTCAGTGGAAAGCTATTGAGGGAATAATCTTTCTGGACAAGCCAGTTGTCCGTATGGTCGAGGTATTTCATGGGGAAACTTCGGTAGATTCCCCATTCATCGACATTTGGATCGGTAATATTTAAGTGGCGTGTATTTGCAAATGGATCAAAGATTCCAACCTACAATTCAGTCAAATTTGATTCTTAATCGCTATTCATCATTTAAAATATATGTAGTTATTTACTTACACTATTTTGTCTGCAAGTGGCAAGAACAATAGCATTCAATATGCCATGAACTTTCCACAGTTTTGCTAAAATTCTGCTAGCCAATCGATCCCAATTGTCATCTTCTATAAGTGGTTCTCTATAGATCAATATGACATAATACGTTCGTTTTGACTGAAATGGATGCTTTGATTTTTTATCGCTTAGAAAATGGTCGATAATTTTGATGTTTGTAGCCAAAACTACGCTTCCACTCGCTGGTTCGTCTTCTCGGTTCCAGTTTTTCTTCAGGATTTGGGCTCGAATATTCAGCTTATCCTCTTCGACGTAATAGGTAGAGTTCCCATGCTTCGATAGTTCTGGATGCCATTGATATGTATTATCATTGAAAATATCTTTTTTATCCGTTTGTTTGTCTTGGACGTTGTATCGAATCTGATGAGTATAATATTCTAGTCCAGTGTGGAGATGAAGATCTTTCACAAAATGACTCATATAAAGGGTCTGCTTATCAAAATCCACTTCACGAACTATTTCCGTTACATTTATATGGCTTCCAACACGCAAAAAATACCACGAAATCAATTCCCATTGCTCTTCCGAAATCTCACAACAAGTTGAAGGTTTGTAAGTATTGTTCAATTTC